CAATTTTAATATTTCTCACAATGGATTTGAGGTTAGAAATATAGTTATCATGACATGAGAAAAGAGAACAATTTTAATCCGAATTTAGAAAGAGAAAACCATTATCTATTAGAAAAAGATAACGATTAACTGTATGTGTTGGTACAGATTCATTGGTGACCAATAGAAATAGGCGCTTCATTATGACGCGGTAAATGGCGCAAAAATAGAGCGTTTTCAATTGATTTAAAAGTGAACTTTTTAAAGTACTGTAACTTTATTATTTATTATCTGTTTAAAGTATTTATTGCATGAAAAAAAGTTTTTTTTGTAATTAAGCAGTTAATAGCATTAGATTCGTTAAATTCGTTTACACTAAAACACGCTCATTGATGTCATCAGTACCTATGCTAAAACTAGCATTAATAACTTCAGGACAGGGATTCTTATGTGCGTACTTAAAACGTAATGAATCAAATAGAGAGAGAGAGAGAGACGTTACTTACAAATCGCATCCTGTGGTACGAAGATAGTCGTTCTCAATACGTGCCGTATTGAGAGATGATAATCCCAATCACATACTTTGATTACTATACGAGGCAAGAGAGAGGTCCGACATGCCCAACATAGGGCGCGGCCATTTTGAACCCTGTGACACAGTTTACAGCTAAAGAATCAGATCGCTCACTCTGCGTCGGCACTTTTGATCTCAATGTTTCAGTTTATACACTGTGCAACTCGGATAATACAATATATGACAACCGCCTACAATAAAACAGCAGTCTTCTGCGTATCCTGAATTTGTATCCCTGGAGTGAATGTTATTTTGAAACTTTCAACTGGTCCAAGTGAGCTAACTGATTCTTTAGCAATAAACTGTGACTTCAAAAATAATATTCACTGACACTGACAACAGCAAGCAAAATATCAGGTGCGTTTTAATCATCCGCTTCTGCTTCCGGAATTGTCGGTTTAGTCGTTTTAACCTGTCATATTAAATCAAGAAAACCGACAATTCCGAAGCAGAAGCGGATGATTAAAACGCACCTATTAAAAATATTGCGCCAAGATGTAGGCAACACGTAATAAGGGTTCAAAATGGCGGAGTTTTCTATCTCCTTTTAAAAGGCACTCAGAAAGCTGCGCAGTGCGACCATTCTCCGTATAGTAAAAGAAAATCAAAGTATGTGATCCCAATGCAGTAGTAACCTTAAAATAATGTCACTGACCTTTTTGACAGCGCTGATACTATTTGACAGAACTGAGCCTCAAGTTGTCATAAGAGTCACTAAGAACGGCCATTTTTATTAAATTATATTTAAATCTTAATATTTTCATTTAAATTTTTTTAACATAAACACCAACTCTTGGTTATTTTTCTCTTCTTTTTCATTTTTATTTTCCTATTCTATACTTTCCTATTAATAATTTAATAATAATTAAAACACAATATACATTATTTTTTCATTACCTACAAAAATGTTTTGCCAACCCCCCCTCCCCCCCTTGGTGATAACTGTGATAAGTTTTAGCTTATATGTGTACTCACCTGTAACAACAAGAATTGATGGCATAGTTTCTAAAGTTGTTGTTACATATGGTATCATTGAATTATAAGTAATTCATGTTGGGTCAAATAACTCCTTGAAAATTCATGATGGGCTTCTAATCAGAGGAGGCTCGTGGTGGAGACTATGGAGGCTACTTTTGAAATGAACACCCTATATACTTAATACAAATATATATTTCTATTAGAATATAATGTAATATTACTGCTTTTTGTATTCTAATAGAAATATACAGGATGGGCCACTTAAAAGTTCCACCCCTCCCCCCGTATCTTAGTTATTCATTGAAATATCAAAAAAAAAATTTTGTTTGAAATACGAACAAATATTTTCTTATAATGGTTCAATTAATCTGTGACGTCATGGCCTACTTCCGGTTTTTCCGGAAATAACAGAAAATCGAAATTTATTTTTTATTTTTAAATTGAAACCTACTTTTTTTTATTATAAATTTGAATTTCTGGGACATTTTTGTATAATAATCGCGTATTGAAAATTTTCTGGCAGCTGTCAAAATAGCCGCCATATTGGATAATATTTTTTTCTAAACATATGTTACTATTAATTGATTTATGGAAAAGTATGGGAATGTATGATCTTTACAAAATCATTGTAAGCTTCAAAATTTCTATTGAGACCCATTTACAGTACAGCAGTGGTGTATCTAAGTATTTTCATTAATAGCAAACTGTTTAATAATTCCATCCGCTTTTATCTTCGTTGTTAATTGAGATATTGGAAGGAAAATTTTTTTGTTTTAAAGCTTGGAACAAATACTGTCATATACTGGATTCAATTGGTCTGTGACGTCATGGCTTACTTCCGGTTATTCGTAAATAACAGAAAATCGCAATTTATTTTTAATTTTTAAATAGAAACACCCTTTTTCTATTGAAAATTTGGATTTCAGGGGCATTTATAGATAAGAATCGTGTGTTAAAAATTTTCTGTCAGCTGCCAAAATGACCGTCCTATTGGATAATATATTTTTTAATGTTACTGTTAATTCGTTTATGGAAAAAATATGGGAATATATAAAATCTTTGCAAGCTTCACAGTTCCCATTGAGACCCATTTACAGTATACCAGTGACGTATCAAGGAATTTTGTTATTAGCAAACCGTTTAATAATTCCACAGTAAATCGCAATTTATTGTTTAATTTTAAATGGAAACGCATTTTTTTATTGAAAATTTAAATTTATTGAGCGTATCTGCCATCGAACTGAATTCACACGATTTCAGCGCTTGTAACCACTATATCAGTCAATAACAAAAAATAGTTATTTATACATATAATAAGTGTAAAAAGTGGCTTTCCAATAAGACGTTTACATACGAATTGCATACAATATTTTTGCTACCGTACATATTGTTCACTAAGATTAGACATACAAAGGTTACTTTAAACTGTTTTGCTTTACGCACTAGCGCATTTATCATGTCAATATACCAAAAATTTTGTCTTGTCTACGCACTAGTGCGTAAAAGTAAAAATTTTACTTTACGCACTAGTGAAAAAAGTAAAGCTTTATACACTCTGTAGTGTGCGTAACATACGTACTTTACGCACAGTAGTAGAAAAATAAATGATAACGAGACGCAACAGATATTTAAATTTAAAAAATATTTATTTTCATTTTAAAATATAAAATAGCTTAATTTCATCAGAAAACTTTAAAGAATCAATATAATAAAATAACATTGATACGCTCAAGAAATTTAAATTTTCAATAAAAAAACTGGGTTTCCATTTAAAAATATAAAATAAATTGCGATTTACTGTTATTTCATTATTTGACAGTATTTATTCCAAGCTTTCAGACAAAAAAAGTTTTCATTCCGATGTCTCAAATAATAAAGATAAGAGCGGGTGAAATTATTAAACGTTTTGCTAATAACCAAAAACTTAGATACGCCACTGGTACACTGTAAATGGGTCTCAATGAGAACTGTGAAGCTTACAAAGATTTTATACATTCCCATATTTTTTTCATAAACGAATTAATAGTAACATAGAAAAATATATTATTCAATATGACGGTCATTTTGAAAGCTGACAGAAAATTTTCAACACACGATTTTTATCCATAAATGTCCATGAAATTAAAATTTTCAATAAAAAATAGGTTTCTATTTAAAAATTAAAAATAAATTGCGATTTGCTGTTATTTCCGAATAACCGGAAGTAAGCCATGACGTCACAGACCAATTGACTCCAATATATGACAGTATTTGTTCCAAGTTTTTAAACAAAAAAGTTTTCGTTCCAATATCTCAATTAACAACGAAAAGATAAAAACGGATTGAATTATTAAACGGTTTGCTAATAATGAAAATGCTAAGATACACCACTGGTGTTCTGTAAGTGGGTCTCAATAGAAATGTTTAAGCTGCCCATATTTTTTTCCATAAACGAATTAATAGTAACCTGTTTAGAAAAAATATCCAATATGACGGCAATTTTGACAGCTGACAGAACATTTTCAATATACGCTTCTTATCCAAAAATGTCCCAGAAATTCAAATTTTCAATAAAAATGCGGTTTCGATTTTAAATTAAAAAATAAATTGCGATTTTCAGTTATATTCGGAAAAATCGAAAGTAAGCCATGACGTCACAGACCAATTGGACCCAGTATATGAAAGTATCTGTTATAAGCTTTTAAACAAAAAAGTTTTTATTCCGATATCTCAATTAACAACGAAGATAAAACCGGTTGGAATTATCAAATGGTTTGCTAATAATAAAAATGGTTAGATACGCCACTGGTATACGGTAAATGGGTCTCAATGCAAATTTTGCAGCTTACAAAGATTTTATAAAGATCATACATTCGTATATTTTTTTCCATAAACGAATTAATGGTAACATGTTTAGAAAAAATATTATTCAATATGGCGGCCATTTTGACAGCTGCCAGAAAATTTTCAATACACGATTGTTATACAAAAATTCAAATTTACAATAAAAAAAGTTATTATTATTATTTCCGGAAAAACCGGAAGTAAGCAATGACGTCACAAAATAATTGAACCCATCACAAGAAAGTATTTGTTCCAGTCTCTCAAACAAAAAAAATTATTCCGATATCTTAATTGATAACAAAGATAAGGGGGAGGGTGGGTGGAACTTTTAAGTGGCCCACCCTGTACATTTTTATTAAAAGTATATAGGGTGTGCCAGTCTCCTCGTAGACTAGGCCACAAGCTGCCTCTGCTTGTAATCTATAACTTTAACAAGCAATATAAACACACTACAAATCATTGAGAATAAATTAATATGATTTTTTTCTCTTTATTGATGAAATTAATTAAGTTACGCATGTGCAACTAACAATATAAGAAAGTAATATTGATTAGCCTAGGTGTCAGTAATGTTTTACCAAATATTCATTCGTTACATAAAATAAGGCATTTCCTAACGGGTTTCATAGATAGCTATTATTTTCAGGGAAAGGGGTCTCAGAAGGCTCCGAGAGGAGCTTCGGGCGGAAGAAATGAAACTGGTCCTTCTCAAAAAGCTCAAGCAATCCCAACAACTGAAAGAAAATGTCGCCGTTTTGCCCCCCAACATACCTGCTTCGGCGTTACCGCCCTCAGGTCTCCCTAGCGGTCTTAGTATCACCCCTACGACTGTAAAAGTTCCTCCAAAGGGACAGCAGTCTCCGCAGATGGCACATTCACGTCATTCTACTTCAAGTTTGCTACATAAGACTGGTAGCATGTCTGGGAATGGAAGTGTTAATTCTCAAAATATGTTAAGAGTAAGTAAATTATTTTTTTTTATTATTTTCCTGATTTAAACCAAAGTCGATTCAACAATTTACCTTGAAAGAAATCAATAAATTATTTTATAATAATCTTTTCTGCCTTTTTTGTTTATTACAATAATTTATACATACATTATTAAAAAAATCAAAAATGGACTGTGACAACAAATAGAACGAAACCAACTAAACAACAGAATATTCTGCATATAATATTAAACTTACTGTTAAAGTATCGAAAATATCGTTTTCCTACGACCACTTAGGAAAGTGACACATATCACACTATATAGTCCTATGGAAAGTGCCCTATATCACACGCGTATGAATAAGAATTTACTTTTCACCCGAGTGAGAATATGTTACTTTCCGCAGTAGTTGTCACAAAATGTCAAACACCTAATTTCTATTTTGATCTATGTAATGTCCATATTAATACTAAAATTGGTAAATTATTGAAATCGTTGTAAATTAGATCCTAGATATTTATCTTTAACAAATTAAAATAATTTTAAAATAATGTTTGCTCTTTATTCTGGTTAAATACATAACCGATTAGATCATTCAATTGACACAAGGGCTATTAGCTCAGGTGGTTAGGACGTCGAACTTATCAACTTTGCCATTTTTCGACCGCGTTCGAATCCTGGCGGGGCAGAATTTTAGTTTTTTTTTTATTTTTTTTAGTTTTTTTTTTTTTGTTTAGAAAATATGAAAATTGAATAAATATTGTTGATTATTTTTTTAAACACATTTTAATTATTATAGTAATACTAACCTTGGTTTTACATTTTTTTGATGACATTATTTTGTGGTCGTAGAAAAAATATTGTACATCACTTGTGTGAAAAGTGATTTTCCACACTCGTGTGATAGTATTTCCCACTCGTGTGAAAAATGTCACTTTCCACACTCGTAATGTAATATACTATTTTTATTTTATTCTTCACATTTCAGTTTAGAATTATTTTCATTTTTATAAATAACCAGCTGTTGTCCCCGGTTTTGCACGCGTGGAGTCGTGTTTGTAATATAAAAAAATGTTTGACTACCCAACTCTGCTAACAGGTAACATAAAACCGTCCATGAAAAAAGAAGTCCTCCCTTAAGCTAACAAGGTATCGGGACATCAAGGTATCGGGACATCAAGATATGTTGTTTTTATCAATTCAGCCCTCATATTTTTCATGTCAGAACATAAGAAGTTTCACTTATTTGTTTTTAATTATTTTTATTTATTTATTTATTTTCATTTATTTCTATTTCTTTTCCCAAACAAACTTTTACCGCTCGTTTTCCACTTTCACACCCCCCCCCCCCCCCCCCCCCCCCCCTTAAAGTATGAAAATCCAAAAACCTAACACATGTCATTATTTTTGCACGGTTGAATAGAGAATAAAACCCCTTTTCAAATGAGCTATCACTCACCACCCCATGCCATTTAAATTTTTCGAAAGGGTTGCTCCTCTTCAGTAAGTGACGAAATTAAGGGTAAACTATTCATACAAAAATGTACATTGTAGAAACCAAAAATCGACGTGTCTCGGAGATTTTCCTAACAAGACTCCAGCAACGAGTTAGAGGGGTAAGACTTATGATGCTCACTGTACATATATCACAGAGAAAGCAAATTAAAAAAAAAAAATTCTCGGAGTCCTGAATTTAATCCATAAAAACTGATAATAATTCAATCACTTTCTTTTGTTTTTCAAATCATTATTTCATAACCAAATTTTTTTTTTATATTAGTTGCAAATCAATAACAGTCATAAAGAAAAATGTGTAAATTAATAATCTTATCATTGTTTTTTTATTTCTTATGACCTAGCAAAAAAAATATGAACATACTACTTAATAAAATAATTTTATTAAGCCTATTAATCATCTTAAAATATTCATACCTCCGTAAACTCCAATCAATATTGACAACATTAAAATTGATGACTACATAACGTTGGTAAATATTAAAGAATTTATTATTTTTGAAATTTTAATAAAAGTTTTAATGGCACTGAAATTCCAATATTACACGAGAAGAAAAGCTGTATTTGTATATCTAATTTTCTTACTGTAGCCATTTAACAAAATGAAAAGAGAAATTCTCAATTTTCATTTTAAATTGATCACATTATACACTCGCCGGCAGAATTAACCGCCCACCCAATTATTTTTATAAAAAGTTCAAAATTTTTTTCTTTTATTTTCTAAAATTAAACAAAAACTTTCATTTGATTGGTATTTGTTTGCTTTTTCAAGATGTACTTAGACATTAAAAAGTAAAAAAAAATCAAAATTACAAATATCTCCAACTAAATAACAAAACATTGGGTGGCTGGTTAATTCTGCCGGTGAGTGTAGAATTGAAATTTATTTCATTTGACAAAATGTTTTTCTACTTTTAATATCCTTTTTCCATTGTTTCTTTAAAATTAGGTCCTTTTCTAATCTAATTTTTGCCCTTGATTTTGCCAATTTGTATGATTTAAAATCTTTTAATTTATTTCTGACTTATTCCCTCATTCCTATGCCTCTCAATTTATTTTCTTGCTTTATTTTAGATTTTTTAATTTAAAAACATGTCCGAAAAAATAAGATTTGTTGTCTATTTTTGAAATTTAATTTTCCCTTTGATTCGCTAATCTCTAATGGTTTCATTTCTATCTCTGTGTTTTTCTCATTGTTTTTCTCAAGCCTCCTTTCCACTGTTGTTACCATTACTTCATCCGTTTTGTATATTTCTCAAGATTCACTAGTGTATTGCACTTCCAACACTTATTTTGATTTATTTGCTTATATCTTTCTTATCCAACTTACGTAGACAGTTGGTGGCATATGAGAAACTTCATAAAAAGTCGAGCATGGTCTAAAACCTAAAATACAACCATCAGATATCAAATTTTATTAGTCGTATACGAGGTTTGTCAAAAATAAAGTTACTTTACTCTTGAGTAAAATTCATATTTTTGACAAACCTATACGGCTCAAAAAATTTGATGCCTGATGGTTGTGTTTCAAGTTTTAGACAATGTAGAACTTTTTATGAAGAATAATTTTTTTTCCTAAAATGAATAATAAAAAAGTTTTCCATATGGTTCCAACTTAGTGAGACATAATATGGTATATTCATTGCCATATAGAGTATACAGACACACAGACAGATATCATTGCGTAAATAGTCAAAACGGGTTCAGGCGAATCCAAAACGTAAAAATCCGTCGAAAACTCGAGGTCGAAAAAAATCATGATTTCTATACTTTCCTTATCTGTATACAGACAAGAAAGTAAAAATGCGATAAAGATGTGAACTATATTATTTTGAATGTTTAATGACTTGTACAAGTTCCTCATTATTTCCCGTATTTTTGAGAGTTAACTTTTTAATGTATATAAATATAATTAGTGTATGTTCTGAAGTTATTTTTATTAACAGACTATTAAAACAATTACGCATATTTATAAGTAATGCACTAAATAATTGTTAGTTTTAAACTGAAGGCTAGTCAATTATGCAATTATTTTTCAACTGGTTAAATTGATTAAATAAAATATATTTTAGTAATACTTTCATAACGAGAATATTATTCATGTTTGTTATTTTTGTCGTCTTGTGGCAAGTAAAATATCTTCATGGGTAAAATCTATTTTATTAAAGAGGCGTCACAGGTGACCCTTGTGCCCAGAAACAAAATTTTGACTTATTTTTGATGCTAGATTGCAAAATGTAATTTTTGCATTCGGGGGTCTAGAAATTGCGTGTACCTACACACATTTGTGGCCTCTGAATAAGTTGATTTTGTTAAAAAATAATTATTAAAATATTTTCCTAATATTTATTTATACCAACCCCTCAGACTATGGTTTTAATTTAATGTGTTCTTATGTTGCCAGGAAATAGTTTTTTAATGACTTTGATGTATTGTATTTTTAATTAAGAAAGAATATTTTTCCTTTAATAAAACTCATATAGAATCTATAGTTTCAATTAAAAGGAAAGTAAAGTAAAATCACAACAGATTTAACCAAACCTATTTGCTTCGTTTGGCCGCTAGAGGTCAACAGAGTTAAATTATATCACTTTTTGACATATCTGGCATTAAAATAGGATTCATGAATCGAAGTTTCAATTGATTTCATTTTGATGCTTTTTTTTATAAAAAAATTTCAATCTATAAAAGGAAATTTTATCCCTAATTTTTATTTGTTTATTATTTAGATAATATAGCCAAAATGTCCTGCATATTTAGAAATTTTTAGTTCAGTTATGAACGTTTTATAAAAGACTAGAGGCATAATGGATGTTCCAAAAGAAACTTAATAAATTCATAAAAACTTCTATAATTAAAATTTGGAAAAGGTGCAAAAACAAGTTAATTAAGTAGTTTGAAATGATTTTATTTTATATTTTCTTGTTTTATTTCATGGATCTGTAATGTCGTTTGTATTGATTTTTTTAAAAACTGTTAAAATTAGGATGTTTATTTAAACGGACTAACTTTTTTTAATATAAAATATCAGATGTTCCATTTAAAAAATATTAATAACGTCATTGTTCCGTGAAATAAATCACGAAAAAAAAAAAACGCCTAACTATTAATTCATGTGGTTTTTCATTATTACCAATATTTTATTATAGAGGTTTTATGGTTTTTATGTTTCTTTTATAACACACTGCGTAAATGGCTTTAAAAGAATAATTTACTTTGGCAATTGTCTTATCTCTGGTCTCTATCTAACTATTAGGCTGCGTCCAAAGGGGCTTTGTTGACGCGGCTAAGTCGTTTTAGCGAATACCAAGGAAGGTTCGCTACTACGCCCAAATTTATTCGCCCCCAAACAAAAAACGCAAAACAAAAAAGTGCATTATTTTGATCACATCCACAAATCAAGTTATTTTTTAAATACATATTCTGATTAAACTTTCTTATACGGCTGTTAAAACTTGACGAACTAGATGCCTTCTGCGTTTTTGTGATTTCTAAATCGGGAAGAGGCCTTCC